AGCTTTACTTAGTGACTTATATTCCCAGGCTTTGTTTTCAGCTTTTTTTCGACTTTTATTTAATATTATTTGGAGGGAAATAGTGCCGAACTTCCCACCTCCCTCAACCCGAAGGAAATGTACCATGACGAACGTTGTGTTTTCTATACAGTTATACTGAGATGTTAGCTGCATTGGAGGTGAAGGTGGAGCACTCATAGACGGAGGCGGTCAGCCACCGAGAGGCTTATTGGGTACCGATAAGATAATCATGAATGGCAAGCTCGGGAGATCCGCCGCGATATGCAGCCTACTTTCCCAGCTTAACTTCTAGGTCTACACAGCTGCATAAGAATGATGACAAGAGAGTTTTAATCGAGTAATTTTATGAAATATTTCTAATGAAGGAACATAAACTTACGGCGCTCCTATTCTTCGCGTCTTCGCTCAGTATAAACTGCCTTGATACCGTGCAAATTACAAAATAGACCCGGACAGCAAGAAAAACAACCTTAAGACAATTCAGCGGAAAATCAAATGAAGAAATGCTTTTAGGTAATGTTGAAGGCAGTTGGCACGATAATTTGGTACTCGGCCTAAAATGCTAGTAGGGCGCTATATAGTGGGAAATGGCGAAAGAACGGAGTGAAACGGTCAAAATCCTGCGAAGAAAAAGCCTCCGTTCTCAGTGACTTGAAAATCGATTTCGGACGAGTTTCCCGTAGGCATCTTGCCAATAACCGCTACCGAAGATACGGCTGCATATGTGTACTCATATATCCATGCAGCATCGCGCCGCTTCATACCAATCCCTTCGCTTCATAATTTGCTTAGCAAATGAATGAATACGAGCGTCAGGAACGGTCGTCCATTTGTGGGCGGGCGGGCGTGGTGGGCGTTTGGGTCGGTATGTTGTAGCTTGATAGGGCCCTTATAAGGGCACCTCCTTTGGGAAGGGCGCGGCGCAGCGTATTCGTGGGGGCGCGGAATTCCGTCCCGCCAGGAATATTAATCCTACGCTTCTTCAGGGATTTATCGTGGCAACTGCCTTCAAGGATGAAATCCTCGCCATTGGTCAACCCCTTTTTTCAGATGCAGCCGTATTTCAGATCCCTAGGGCCTATTGAGTGCGTTATGGTTGGCGCAACCCCTTTTTTCGGATGCAGCCGTATTTCAGATCCCTAGAGCCTATTTAGTGCGCTCTGGCCTATAGAAAGACTTGTAGGGGCCAGCCGATGCACAAGTCTGGTGTTTTTCATCCTCGCCAAACAAGAATTCACGAGTCTTCATGTGAAGAATTATTGGAAGGTTTTGACCCCTGAACGACCTGTCCGTTCTGTGGCATTCTCTCAAATCGAATAACTCTCACTCACGACTGATGCCGTTTGGATGCACTCCGTGCTGGCTGCTGGCTTTATTTAGGAAGTGTTGTGACCGCCATTATGTACAACCCTCCTTACTTCACTTCCACACCCCTCATCGTCAAGTGCTTGAGCTAGTTAGAAGAGAGATAAGCTCATTACAGGACTTAGCCTACAGGAGCAAGCGATGCTGTCCATCCGCTAGGGCCAGGCCGATGAAGAATGAATTGAAAACGATAAAGCGCTATTGGTACGCACGCGCGCTCGAATGGCTAATCGCTGCCGATCAATCAGAACATTTCTGCCTTTACAGAGAAACATTGTTACCAGATTTGTCATGGCAAGGAGAACAAAAGAACCAGTAACTGTTACATCGCATCCCTCCAATATTGTAAACCACATCATATTTGCATTAAGGACCAGGGTTCTTAACTGACAGTAGAACGCGCGCAGCGTCCCAAAAAGGATCGACCGACGGCGAAAAACCCATCCATTGATTGTTCAACAAGAATTACCTGAGGATAGGCGATCGGAATCGGAACCCAGTCATACTGACATAGTTGAGCCAAACTAGTGCGAAATAGCTTCACTTCCTCAAAGTTCAATATCAAAAAGTATGCACATCAGTTAAGAAATTTTGGGGAATTGTAGGGCTTGAGAACTTGAAAACGCGAATTAAATTTATTTCGTAGTCCGTTTGAGAAGGTTTTACGATGTTGTTTATGCCACAAGTGGAATTCATCATGATCGAGATGACTAAGCGAACTTTGAAGGCAAAGCCCGCGATCATTGGCCATCACAGATAGTGGATTAGGGGTTGCATATAGACGACAAGGTTCTGAGTAACTCGACAGTGAAGAAAAAAGCAGAAAAAACATGCCAACTGCCCTAGATAGAACCCCATTCCGATCCCAGTTTGTACGTGCCCAATACTCCATCTTCAACACTACGCCCTCATCCGCACAGCTGATTCCCCGATAAGAACTCTACGACCGTACAAGTGACGATTTTCATGCTTTTTCGTCCTGCAGCTTCGTTTTTCACTGAAAGGCGGGCCTTGGAGGCGGAGTCTGGAGGCGGAGTCACTGGAAAAAAGGAGGCGTCACTGAACCTATATTGCGCTATAGCGCCCCTCCCTTACAATTTTTGCCGCGAAACCGGTACAAGGTTGTTCGTCGCGGACCACACTACCCTCCCAACGCCATATTTTCAACTTCTATACCTGATCGCGGACCGTTGCTGGTTGTGGCCATTCTGGACAAATGTGCCTCTAGAAAACGGGACAGTGTTTCCATGAGAGCATTTTATGAGAGTATGTCCTGGCGTTGCGGAGAATTTTCGCTGAAAAGAAGAACGCCTCCAAAGTTCTCATCTCGTGCGACCCCCGTACGCAACCGACCGACAGTCTTACCAAACTTTCCAAAGTTTTGCCGGGTGGGAGCGGGAGCGGTAGAGGCCGCCTTTCATCATCAGAAATAGTAATTCTGCGGCACTGCAAATCCGCTGACTAGTACTGGGATAGCGAAAAGGGAAAATCAGCTATTGGCATAAACGAACTTCTTGAACAAATTATGGTCTTTTCTCCCCTATAACAGGAGTCGTGCTGAAAAAATTTCTTCAGGCAGCTTTAAATGGCAGCATTCGTTCAACGACGTTCCACGCTCGTTGCATGGTGAATCTGAACCAGCACTGAGGCACTGTGCCCTTCTGTTCTAACATTATGAAGAAAGGATGATCAGCACCGCCGCTCTGCAGAGCGTCCGATGGATAGACGGCGGATTACCGCTATTAAACGTTTAGGGTATTAAGGTGCACTGAATAGCGTATTAATAATCATGCTTTGGATTGTTGCCCAAGAACCGAAAAAGTGTCGTCTCACGTTTTGAATTGCCACCATGGCCGGAACGTTTTCGATGCATCCCTCTTTGTAGGCCCGTGCACAGATGGTCAATGCCCAATTCGATGGCGCCCAATACTTGTTGTAGGCAATCTTGATGTTCTCCAAATCTCGCAATTCGTTCTCATGTATGAAACCTGAAAAGAACTTTTGAAAAGGGAGCTCATATGGGGGGCTAATTGGTGACAAACCAGCAACAACAATCGACTCCATGTTGGGAAATCGTCGACGTACTCGCATTGAAACGTCACGGAACACCAGAATCTATATTAAAAGTAAAACGTCACTCTTAACAGGCTTCTCTCGGAAAACGTAGGTTTTTACCCTCAATTTACACTCCACATCCCAGAAATGCGTGCTTTGTGAAATGTTCCCTTTGGAAGAAGGCGTGATCTTACCACAAGCGCAGACAATGCCACTTTCAAATGAAGTCAGCAGCCACGCCCTCCACATCTGCGGGATATGGGGTGAACATAGTTTGTTACTTCCAACGCTACTATGCACTACCGTACCAACCACCTGAGTGATTCTATGTAGTACCCCCTAGGATACCCAGAGCACGTCTTGCCGCTGGGGGAACTTTTGCAAAGTACGACCCTCCCTCCCTTCAAGGTTTTCACCTTTGGTACCGCGGCCAGATTCCCCATCCGGCACCGTTCCTACCATCTTCCTTAATTGTCCCAGCTTCCTACCATTTTACAACCAAAAACTGCCGTCGAGGGAAAAACCAAGAAAAGTCAACTGGGGCGCCTTCGCTCCTCGAAGGCGAGTGCGAGTGTCCTCCTCGCTCGGGATCCGCAACGTGCGACATGCCCTGGGGATACTCTCTGCGGTCCATTCCTTTTGCACAACATTGTACAGTATGGCGAAAATG